TCTGTAATGACAAATTAGTGACACCTTGTTGAAATTGTAATGAATTTTTTATGAGGTTGCAACGAAAACGCGCGGATAATCTGTAACGACAAATTAACGATGTTTTGTTAAAATTATAATGAATTTTTGATGAAGTTGCAACAAAAAAGCGCAGGTGCTAGTATACCTGCGCGTTTTCGTTGCAATTTCAAAAATTTATTACAATTTCAATAAAATGTCGTTACTTTGTCATTAGAGAGTATCTTCGTTTTTTGGTTGCAATTTCATCGAAAATTCATTACAGTTTCAACAAGATGTTATTGATTTGTTTATCATTACATATAGCCCAGTAAAACTAGAGTTTAAAAAGGAAAAAAGTACTGCAAAGCTGGATTTTTGTATAGAGGTCTGTAATAATGTACTTTTTAACATATCAAAAGTCCCCATGTGTTAAGGCATGGCCGGCTACGCCATCTTGAAAAAATGTCTCACAAAATCGGTTTTTGCAAATATTTCAGAAACTATTCGTTGTACAAAAATTAATGTTCAGTTCGAAAATGAAGCTGATAAAATTTCCTACAATTTCATTTTTTAAAAAGTACACTATTACAGATCTCTATACAAAAATCCAGCTTTGCAGTACTTTTTTTCTTTATATCGCCAAAAATCGTCTAGTTTAACTAATAGTATTTGCGTTTTTCTTTGCAACCTCATCAAAAATTCATTACAAAATGTCGTTATTTTGTCATTCCACAGCCAATACGCGGTACTACCACCAGAAGGACACAGCGAAGTTCAATTTCTCCTAAGAAGAAAACTACTCAGCATACGATAAAAGGTGCAACATTACGAAACTTTTCACTGATAGTTTTATGAAATTGTTCCTTGAATACGAATTGTAGGTTCAAAGACGAATGTAAATGAGACATGCATTTTGAAAGTACAGTCTTTAGTTCTGTATAAAAATTCTGTACAAAAATTAATGTAAAATTTTAATTAAATTTTAATGAAATTAATAACATTGCAATGAATTTTATATTAGTTTTGGAACATTTTGACCAGTGATTTCATCCAAATTTCAATAAAATTTCGTTAAAATTTTTCCACCAGGATTTGCAAAAATTTTAATTAAGTTCTAATTAAAAACAAAAGTTGAAATTTTGAAACGTTTAAGTCCAAGTAAAAATGATTGAGTTGTATCGCTCATTTTTGTATCAACATTTTTACGCTAATTATTAGAGAAAAGCTTCCTATTATGAGATAGGCGCTTAATATGAGATAAAAACATTTTTGTTAAACTAATAAATGCTGTCTATTGGTTCCACCATTGATTCCAATTTATTGTTCTTGGATTAAAAACTATTTAGTGGAAAATTCATTATTAGATCATGCCCGTAGTCTGTAAAAAATCATTTTAGAATTTGGATGTCTTCAAGTTTCATTGAGATGAGCCTTTAAACCTTGTTTATTATTTAATAAATAAATATTTGGCAATAAATTCTTCATGTAGTGATAGAGTAAGGTCGTACTAATAGAAAAATATAGGATATGTTAAATTGCTTAATTATAGAAGTTAGATTTGATGATCGTGGAAATCGTAATGTAAGATACCCAGGGTATTTCTAATATGAAATAACCTATGCTCCTATGCCATAGTGAAAATCGTTACTAAAGTATAAATGTTATTGTACAATAATAAAAAGGACAACTGGAATGAATATCGAATGCCTATTTCTGTGATGCTTGGTTCCAACTACCTGAAGACGAGTTCTGGGTATAATCTATCGCATGCTCATTTTTCGTGCACGTTGGCTGTGTTTGTTTGTGTTTTAGAAACATTAAATAAAGTTTTTTAACAGTTTTTAAAAGTTTATTGCAATACTGATACACTTTGCATTTTATTATCGATTTCTAGGAGCATATTAGGAGCACAATTTTTTGAATTTACGATTTGCTCACTTTTTACATTTCTTTAATTTAAAAAAAAATAGAATTTGAATTATATTTTACATAACATTATCTTAAAGCTTATTAAATTCCCTTCAAAATGACCTATTATTTTTTAAAATTCTGTCCATAAACTGCTAACATTTATCCAAAATGAATTCGGTATCTCATAATAGGGGCCTTTCCTCTATTAACATGTAAAACACAGCACTTACAACCTATTCATATAATAAAACGTATTTATACAATTTCGGTACTTACAATGCTTTGCCTCAAATATGTACATTTTATGTAAATATTAAAAAAAAACTTTTTGATGGATTACAGCTTCTCTGCCCGCCAGTTTACCGTGCGTCTTGGCGATATCGATCTGGAAAACGATGATGAGCCCTCATCGCCAGAGACTTATGCGGTAAAGCAGATTCACACGCATCGAAAATTCTCGCGCGCCAATTTTCACAACGACATCGCCATCCTCGAACTCACCAGCCTCGTAAGAAGGACGCCATATGTGATACCCATTTGCTTGCCGCGGTTTCGTGGAGATCTGTTGGTCGGTACCAGACCAACGGTCGCCGGTTGGGGCAACACTTACTATGGTAATTGAAACATCTCAGACATCAGACACATTTTCTGATCATGACTATTATACTGTAATTTAAATTCTTGCCACACATATCAATTTCATTTTCAGAGTCATCAAAATATCAAAAATTGATCAAGTCAAAATTTAAATACGAATTAAAAGGTCGTAAGAATGATTGAAAAATACGGTTTCTCAACACCATACAAAATTTTTATTTAAATTTTTATTCAAAGAAGCAAGTTGTGTTCTTTTTGTTAGAAAAAATGTATTTTTAATAATAAAATTAAGATGCAGAGTTACAACAAGAATACTAAAATAATTAATAAATAATAATAGCGTCCTATAAATAATCATTGCAGTTCGTGCATGCCTGCATGCAATAGTAAAGATTTTATCTTGAGTAAATTATCTGAGATAAAAAAGTAGACAGTTTTTTTAATTTATATTTGTCATTTTCAGATTGTACGGAGAGAAATTTAAAAAATTTTATTTTCTGCGAAATATTACATTTAAGGGGATCCTAAAGCCGTCTATATTTTTTTTTCTTTTCACGTTGGAAAGATTAAAAAAATTATTATCGCTATTTTTCCCTTGCTTTTCTTTTTTTGGGGGGATTTTGGGGAATTTGAACCTGATATCCGGGAAAATATCCAGTATCTGGCCGAATAATTGCTCTATCGATATTCAACAACCGATTTTCACGTTGTTTATAGCTGCGATGTAAGATTTATTTGAATTTAATGAAGATTGGTATGGATCATTCGGATCGATAGGAAAGGACGGGGGCGATGGCGGGACGCTTTGCATCCGAGCACAATAAGCCTTTGAAATGGCGCCGCTTTTAAAGTTCTATAACTCTTTAAAGAAACAGAGGATAAGAGGATTTAATATGTGCTCAAACATGATCATTTGTCATTATAATATAATGATATTATAGAAGATGTACTTATAAAAGATGTACAAGATGTTCTGTTTTAACTTATAGATACCAAAATATCATAAAAACAATGCATTTTCAAAAAAATGTTTCAAATCAAAATTGTAGGATTTAAAGAAGGCCATCAGATAAGCTACTTACGATTTTGGATCCAGTGCCTACTTTGGATTCAATAAATTGCCTTCATTGGCAATGGAATGTTTCAAAATAAGAACTTTGAACGCTATTTTGCGTCTCTGTTGGAGAAAGTTTAGTAAAAAATTATGAAGAACAAAATTTCCTTATTTTTTCCAATAGAATATGAATCTACAATAAAACATAGGAATTTCTATAAAAAAATCAATCTGAACTTTATTGGATCCAAAGTAGGCCCCGGATCTAAAATCTAAATAGCTCATCTGAGGTCCTCTTCAAACCCTATAACTTTTATTTAGAACATTTTTTTTTCGAAAATACATTTTCGAGGTATTTCAGTGCTTAAATGAAAATGAGACACCCTGTATATCTTATAGAATTAGTTAGGAATATATTTATTTTATGAAGTCAAATTAAATTTCCAATCTTAAGTTTGATAAACTTGTTTCCGTTCTTACGTCTCTTAATTGTAATAATTATCGTAACCATGATGTGGTATAACAGGTGGAAAAGACAGCTCCGTTCTACAACAGGCGATCCTACCTGTGTGGAAGAATGAGGATTGCAACATGGCTTACCATCAACCGATCACTAACAACTTTTTGTGCGCTGGTTATAAGCAGGGCGGCAAGGACGCTTGTCAAGGTGATTCGGGTGGACCATTGATGTTGCGGATTAAGGATCGATGGACACAAATTGGCATTGTCTCGTTCGGCAATAAGTGTGGCGAACCCGGCTATCCTGGAGTATATACGCGTGTCTCCGAATACACGGACTGGATTAAAAATATCAAGTGATAATAGAGTTATGCAGAATCGAATATTTACACTATCGAACAAAAGTATTTGCTCAACCCAATTTTGTATCTTTTTATATATCTAAATTCAGTTCTAAATTTATTATATTCTCTTTACATATGTAGAGAATACAAATTTTAAGCCACCAAACATTATTATTATTATTATTAATCTAATATATGAAAGAATAGAAAAGAAGATTGAAATTCACTTTTATTTATTTAATTAAAAAGAACAGAATGAGCAAATACTTTTGAATACTATACAAACATGTATGTATATGCTTCTGAAAAATAACGTACATGTATAAATATATATGTATAAATACATTTTAATATATTCTGTTAAAAAAGATGGAACTGATATAATATACTGATATATTCTCTGTAAAATTAATTGTCAACATCATATACATTTCCTGTGAGGAACAGGCGAATTAAAATATGTTCAAAATTTCTACGAAAATAAATATTAATTTCTTTAAAAATCAGGAACTGATATTTGATTTTCTTTTTAATTAATCTATTTTTTGCAGATTTATTTTAAAAGAGAATTTGAAGAAATTTGATGTTTTATGACCGTATCAAGATGCTCTGATATTTACGGATATTAGAGCATTTTGGACTTACGTTTGTATCTCTTTTCCTTTATAGTTCTGAGAATATAAGAAGTATAAGCATACTCGATTAGATCATACAATAACCCGAATAGAGATGTCCTGTTAATTTAGTAGGATAAAAGGAAAAGAAATTGATCAAAAAAAGAAATTATCTGTTAAACAGTTACAAGCGATTCAATAAATAAATATAAAATCTCTGCAGAAACAAATCGAAGAGAGACGCAATATTAACGACCAGCAGGGCTATTCTGTAACTCTTAACGCAAATTTCGTTAGCGTTATAACATCGTTGCGCAGCTTTTTTATCATGGTAAAATAGAATGAAGCAACGCGTAAGATTGAGCATTTACGCATTGCTTCATTCTATCTTAGTTATGTAATGAACGAAAAAAAAAGATATAGAATGAAGTTTACAGCGTGAGCGCCCAAAGCGGATGAACCTCATGTCTACGAGCGTCATACGCTCTTAAACGTCGAGCGGCATTTGGACTGCGCGCGGGGTGATGAGGTGAGAAGAGTAGCGAAAGGCGGAGCCGAGTCGAAAATCGGCCGATAAGTGCAAATCGTGCCGAGCCTTGATCTAGGTGCATGCTTCCCAACGATATATCACTTTCTGGGATCACAGACTAGCATATTTTCATTTCTTAATCTACATGAATCCACAAGAGTCCATATTTATTATACTTATCTAGATATATGGAAACGGATTCAGTGTACTCAGTCTCTACAAAATTCAAGACCTTTTTCACGGATAACGTGGATTTGAAAACTTGATTCAAACGTATTTATCCAATCCAATCCATTCTCGTTTGCTAGGACATTCTGTTTTGTATATATTTGTACTCTATAATATATTTTTAATTTCATACCTTCTGTTTATCATTATCTTTTAAATTATTTAATGCCTTTTGAACCAATACTCCTAAGTTCCTTGGAAGACTCATTTGTATCGACTGCAATTGTTGCATAATTTGACTTTCAGGCGAAGAGCTACACTGTACATCATCTTCATTTGTTACAACATTGTTCTCCTCGATATTATGTATACTGCTGTTAGTATGATCCAAATTATTAAAGTCGCTGTCACCTGTAAAAATTAAATATAACAATAGGTATATACATGTATGTACATACACGGTGTCCATTTTTATGACGACGAATACCCTTTGAACAATACATTTTACAGAAAAATGTTCCAGACAAATTTTATAACTTCAAGAGGGATATAAGAAAGTATCATTGGTTTGAACTTGAATGGTATTGTCAGGGCACGACGTTGTCGTAGTGCGGAGGCTCACCCCTGGCTGTCCCCGGTCTCGGGGCTGCCGTCGGCGCTTGCTGGCGGAGCAGCCGAGTCCGGATGCCGGCCTGGGGTGCTAACAGTGCCCTGTACAGACTCCTCCGTCGGCTCGGAAGAGTCTGTACTCTGGATCCGGTATCCCAGTAAAGGGCGCGTCTCTTCGGAGGCATGTTTGAGTGAGGTATGTTTGAGTGAGACAGAACAATAATGTAAGAAATGAATTAAAATGTCACTATTATTGACTTTTATTTGGAATTTAAAAAATCTGTACTATCGACATCGATCAAGTTCGGCCGTCACTCTAGCATGCCCTGAATAATACATATGTTAATAGCAACATCGAAGATTACAATTGTCTAGTTATACGTACACCTCAAATCAACATTGGTGTTTGTGTATCCCTCCAAGAGCTTCGTGGTTGGTGACTGTACAGCACTATCCAATTCACAAATTCTCAATGCCAATATTCTGTAAATAGCGTGTGCAAGTTAATCTATAGAAATGCAAATGTACAAATGCATCTAACGTTTAACTATTTACTTATTCGCTTTCTTCTGATGAGCCAGAGCTAAAGTTTTGTCATTTAAAGCCTCTAATAAGGCAGTGCAAAGGCACCGTAGATCGGTAACGGCAGCAGCAGATTTCTGGGGTGGTATATAAGAACTTTCTTGAAGAAGCTGTTCGACTAAAAATAAAAACATATAGAGGAGAAATAAATTTTATCTTTATCCCGTCTTTTATTATTTATTTCTATTAACTATTATTATAATTTTTAATAAGTTGTTTTCATAGTTTTTCTTATTCGATTTAGCAGCGCCAAGTGTCTTTAGTCTCCAGATCCTATAAAAGGATTTTTTATTTCGCTCAGTAAATTCACAATTTATATCGATCTGCAAAATATCGACAATTTGGCCACTCCAGCATCCCCTTAAGGGAATGCTGGAATACCGACGGAACGCTCATTTCGTTTTTCTCAAACTATTTTGTTTTCCTTATACAGAATAAAATAAAAAACGCAAGTACTTTTGGAAAAGTACAAATCGGTATGAAAATCCCCAAAAAATTGTAAATTAGTTTTCTGTTACAATGTAGGTTCACTTCCTTCACACATATATAAATGAATGCAAGGATATATCCAAACAAAAAGTACTTTTCCATATTTGAATAATTTATAAGAATATCATGAGACCTTCAAATTATGATTTTGAAGCTTACAAGAAAAATGGCTTGAGAAGTACGATTTGAGTGTACATAACCTCGTATTCATATGATATAGCAAAGCAAGAAATGTATGTAATATTTTATTTGGAATTAAAAATCTGTTTTATCGACATCGATCAAGTTTGGCCGTCGCTCCAGCATCCCCTTAAAGCTTAGATAATAGCTTATTGTAGAAAACCCATAATAACGTCTCCTTGAACATACTTAAGCTCTATACCGAAATGCCTCTCTGCCAATTTTGTGGCTGAGCTGTCGGCTGAAATTGTCGCAGCTTCATGATTTTGTTTAAGAGAAAATATTGAAGCTAGTAGTAAATTCTAAGCATCATTTTTGATTATATTAACGTTGTTATAGTTTAAAAAAAAGTTTCGTATCAAGGCGCGAGCGTACGACGAAACTTACACCACGCTTGTGAGTATGGTGTAATTTTCATCGTACGCTCACGCCTTGGTATGAAATAAATATATATGTTTGCTGTCGCAACGTATATATTTTACCTTGCTTGTGAGTCATCACTGTTCCAACTGCAGAATTTGCTCCCAACTTGATAGTTCCTTTAGCCCTTTTACTATCTAGCATACTCTACAAAAAAATTAATCATCTGATATAAAAAATAGTTACAAAAAAAGGAATGCTTTCATACTTAGTAAAACTTAGTAATAACTTCAATTCACTATCAATCTACCTTATACTTTGATAGAGATTGACGTGTGAGCTCCTTCTCCTCAAGCAATTGCTGCAGTCTTTCTTGCAGATATCTAGAATATTTGCAATATAAGTAGAACTAGTATTCCGATTCTGTAACTTTTAATGACAGTTCGGTATTGTTACATGACTTATTGTAGAAAACCCATAACAACATCTCCTTGAGATAGGAAAATAGAAGGAGGAGAATAGGAGATACAATATAAATTATTTATTTAAAAACGATAATTACACATTCTTGATTACCTATTTTCATTGATAAGAGCATCCAAATCGACTGGTTTGGTAGCGTTCAAAGCTTTAGACAGTTCATGATTCAAACGATGTGCCTTACATTTGAAGGCATCCCTTTCCATCTTCAGCTCATGTTTCTCATCCAGTACTGTTTGTAGATCTGTTTGCAACTGTGAACACTGTGGAAGAAATTGATTTCATTAAATGGCAGTTCTTTGTCAAATCATAAATCAATTCAAGGAATTAATAACCGATAGTGAACATAAAATAATTGCATTCATTTTCATGATTTTCGGCCCAACTCTGGTAATCTTCGGTATCTTTCTTATTTTTCCAAAAAGTACATAACTGACAATAGCTTGATTTTACTACAAGATTTATTACTTTGCCGGAATATTTTCCTATGATAGAACATACACCAAATAAAGAACTGAAATCTCGCTTCTTCCAAGAACCATCTCCAAAAATAATCAATTTATCAGCAGGTTTTTATTTTCTAAATTTTTTTTTGTTCTTCATTTACAGCTTTTTTTTACTGAAAATGTTTTATTATATCCATGATATGTATTATCTTAAACACGTCCGTTCAAGCCAAAGTTCAAGAAAGAACTGAATTTGAAAGACCACATACGCACGCACGCACGCACGCACGCACTGAGACTCTAATATATTGTTATAGCCATTATATTGTATCATGTTAGATACACACATATAATTTGTTGTATATGTAAGAGACTCTGTTTCTTTCGCTTGGGATTCTTACATAAACAGGAGAAACATAAACAGATTTCTGCGCATGTGGTCCACTTAAATCGACCGTCTGAAATATTTCGCTTATTTTTGATGATATAAAAAATGTTTCAAATGAAAGTGGAACGGTTTCGAGGAGGTCATATTTTAGTTATATTTTTTTTCTAGGTGAAAGCATCAAAAAGATATAAAGGTCACTTTCACTTTTTTAAACGAAATTGTATGATTTTTTTTTATACGATATGATTCCTCTGCATATAAAAGTATTAAGATAGTGATATCAAAAATCTAACAGTTTACGAGATATTTTACACTTTATTCTGGCACATATTGACATAACATGTTAAATAAAAATCGTAAATTATTAACTATTAACTTTTTGATAATCCCCGTATCTTAATACTTTTATGAACAGAATAATAGTATAAACTAAGCATTAGCATCAATATTATTAAAATTGCTTGTCAATGTAATTTGTAATATTATTATTCCAATTTGAGTTTAGAATTGTGTTTCAAGGTCAAAATTATTTCAACGCACAATTTATAGAACTGGATATGTATACATAAATTTACATGAAACTAGATATATATATATATATATATACATAAATTTACGTCAAAATATTTAAGCAGATCGATCTGATATAAAGTTGAACAAGGCTTTCTCGTTAAAAAAATTTCCTATATGCACAAATACATACATATACAATATATATTGTACATATATTTCATTATATATAAAATAAAATATTCTAACTTTCACATAACAACTGTCAGTATAGAATTACTTATTCAGTAATTATTTATAATATCATTGGTTGCATTCAGCAAAGATAACTAATCAGTGAGCACTTAGTCATTCTTTAATATGACTGATTCGATTATATTAGAGGGTTTGCGGGTTATCACCGTGTCTTCTTTCATGGTCGATGCCAACGTTTCGTGAACCATACTGCTTCACTTCATCAGGGCGAGAGGTGCACTGATACTGTATCACGGTACAAGACACGGTGATAACCCTCTAATATAATCGAAGAAGATAACCATGGAAGCCTCAAATGCGTAATATAACTGATTCTTATCTTTACCTTTTTGCTGGATTTAAACATAAAAACCAATCATATTAAAAAATTACTGAACACTCTCTCTCTCACTAATAAATTTTTTCTATTGAATGCAGCCAATGAGTCAGTCTCATAATTGGCTACTGTGATAGTCAATCAGGATTTTTAACATTGATCATGCTTCTTTGATTATCTAGTTTACCTTTAAATTTAATTTCTCCAATTGCTCTATCATCTCTTCTCTTTGGTGCATAGTTGGTGCTAATTGAGTTTCCTGTTGTTCAATTGGTATACGATTATTATTCGTACGTAACACTTTGATATCACCTTCAGCATCCGCTAGCTTCTGCCTTAACGTTTCGACCTGCAGCCTAAGGCACTTATTTTGTTCACGCGCTTCTGCTAATAGATCCAAGGTTCTAAAATCGTCATCGAAACTGTAATTTATTGCACAAGTTAATGAAAAAATTATGAAACAGTCTTGAAGTAATATCATCGTACTATAGGCCTGAATCAGATACCTGTTCAATTCTTTCATGTCACACATCTGCTTCTTCAAATGCAGAAACCGTTCCTGAATTTGTTCAGCCATCAACTTGAATTGATCTCGTTCTACCCTACTCTGATCCATTTCCTTGCTTAACAACACGAGTGCTTCCGACTTCATTTGTAATTTTCTCTTTAGCATTGCCTGCAAACATATCTCAAATATAGCTATGAATATAGCTAATGAATATAGCTAATTGGAAGCAAACGTTAATTTACTTTTGACTCTGTGTCAACATCGTTGGAGTCAATTTCTTTGAAAGGGCTTGTCTTTTCCTCCATATCGTTTTTAATTAAAAGTTATGTCATAAGAAACAATTTTAACACTTTTGACAAATGAATTTTAATGAAAATACAAATTCCATGAATTATTTTGCAATAAGATTACGGACGAATTGGGCTATTTTCGTAGATACAATTCGGATTAATTATTCAGTTGAACTTCCTGATGACCAACATTAATAAAATTAGCTTCATTCGATGCATTTTTTGCTCCAAATGAACGAATGGCAGAAAAAAACTAGAAAAAACATCCACTCCGTCTCGCGAACAACCGCAAAACGAGATATTAATTATAACTGATATTAATCGTTAAAGTCGACGATCATCGACGACTATTCAGGTTAGAATCAAGGTGAAAGGGATAACATGCAGGGATGCGCGATTTTTACCGATTTATCGATACGAACGATTATTTTTTGACAGAAATCCAGTTATTTCAGGTTATTTCAGATTATTTATGGCCAATATTTTTAGTGGCCGATTCAGTGTTGCCAGCGGGGACGCGTTTTCTCGCGCGTGCGACTTCAACAACGTATCAAGTTCACAAGAATACGGATACCTTTAGAACCCGTATTCTTGTTCCAGATAAACTACTAGATTTTATAGAGAGATACATAATTATTAGGCTTATAATAAGTAAAATAAACAATGTTTAAATACAATAACAATTAAAATAAGATAAAGAAATTATAAATATAAGAATAATTATATGTAATTAATATATAATAGAAACGTGGGGAAGGATATTAAAATAATTTTAATCATCTTTTTATATATTTTAAATAAAATATTTTATTTGGCAGAATCATAAGAATACCAACATTTGTTGCAAGAATAAGGAAAACTGCCAAAAACCTTACCAGTATTCTTTACAAAAATATATTTTATAAATATGATTTATAATAAAATAAAATTAACTCAATATAAAAAAAATATTTTATTTAAAATATGTAAAAAGATGATACAAATTATTTTAATATCCTTCCCCATGTTTCTATTATATATTAATTACATATAATTATTCTTATATTTATAATTTCTTTATCTTATTTTAATTACATTGTTTGTTTTACTTATTATAAGCCTAATAATTATGTATCTCTCTATAAAATCTAGTAGTTTATCTGGAACAAGAATACGGGTTCTAAAGGTACCCGTATTCTTGCGAACTTGATACGATGTTGAAGTCGCGCGTGCGAAAAAACGTGTCCCCACTGGCAACACTGTATACCGGTAAAAAATTATCTCAGGTTCCGAAGTCCAAAATCGACAGTGATAATTTTTTCTGCATCATCGTTGAAATTTATACGCACCAATTTAAAGTATAAGATACAGTACGTGTTCGGAAGTCGTTCCAGCAATAAGTTCGTGCGTGTGATCTTCGTGATTAGGGTATCTATCATGGAACAAAACGAATGGATTCCGATTGGAATTATTTAATTATTCCCTAAATTTCTATTGTGTTTTCTGGAGAAAACAGGAATTATTCCGTTTTCTCCAGAAAACACAATAGAAATTTATTTATCCAATTTATTTATACCATTATCGGCATTTATTTGTTTTAGAAGAATAATTGAAGCTCGAAAATGTTGAAGGTACGATCATCATTCAAAAACATGACTCTTTCGTATTTTTATTTTTATTATAACAATTTAAAAAATTTTGTATCTCTGGGGTCACATGTATGTATGTGGACGTGTGTGTGTGTGTGTGTGTGTGTAATCACACATAAGGTGCAAATCCGACCGGACAACCTCCACGCGGTACATACTAATGCCGGCGGTACTGTAACTTTTAATCTTCATAACTCGAGATTTACTTAATTAAAAGATACTTTATTATAGGGTTTTAAAAAGCTGTTGACATCGGCTATTAGATTCTAGAATAAAAAGTAGGATGTTCCATTTAAAAAAATCGATGTGACCTTGATCTAGCCTTGGCAAAACCACCCAAGGTCAAACTGATATGATCAATAAATACATCTTTTGGAACCCCACAACTTTGGTCTGAACATATTTTCAATTGAATCTCATCCTGCTGAGATAAAAAGGGTGTACGGGTGGTCTAAAACACCCTGTGTGTGTGTATATATATATATATTTTTTGAATTACACACGAACTGGTGTCGGCTCACATTGGCATTTCCTTTTTACACCAATATTTTTATTTGTTTAAAGAGAATAATTTCTCCGATATATTTTTTATCTGAGATGCCAGATTTGGAAATAATTAATCGCTTTAAAAGTTGACAATTACAATTATATATTAAAATTGATGAGATTTATTTGTAATAAAAATTGATAAATATTTCTTTTTATTTATTACAGGGCACTGTAGCTTTGGTGACTGGTGGTGCTTCTGGGCTAGGACGTGGCACCGTGGAAAGGTTTATCAAGCAAGGTGCTAAGGTAATTGTTGGCGATTTGCCTGCTTCAAAAGGTAAAACTGTAGCCGACGAATTAGGAGAAGCCAATGCGGTGTTCGCACCTATGGATGTATGTATAATGTTTAAATATAATTATTATAATATGTAGTTGTACAATCTCTTGTCAAATATAATTATTTTCTATTCCATATATTAATATATGGAATAGAATATATTTTACGATCTTTAAATGTGTTCTTTATTAGATTATTTATCAGAAAGAAATTTGGATCTCTAGCAGTATAATATCTATACATAATAGGACCCCAAGCTATCGATTGAGCCTATTAAAAATTTCGTCCGCCTAGTTGTTTTTTAGATATGACCATAGTGTTTCCGGTCAACTTGACAATTCAAGTAAAGTTATATCTGCGCCCAGTATGGACGCATATATTGGCGCGAGACACTACTATGTCTCTTGATTTAAAACGTAAAATTATATTATCCAAATTATAAGGAGCTTCCCAACAAAAGATACAGAGTGACACAGTGTGACACAGTGAATCGTTGCATCCTTGTTCGTCAATGTTAAACAAGAATGAGGTGATCGCTGTGTCGCACAGTGTCGCTTGTTGGAAAGCTCCTATAATTATCCAAATTAAAAAATTGTAATTTGTTATTATTCTTTTTATTTATATATCATATATTCTTATCTCTTATTATCTCTCTGTTAAATATTAAAATACACTACCGTGTCTCCTGATCTTAACTTTCTTCAAGGTAACTTCGGAGTCTGATATCCAAGCTGCTCTTGATCTTACGAAACAAAAATTTGGTAAGCTTGACGTTCTCGTCAACGCTGCTGGTATCGCCGTAGCCTTTAAGACATATAATAGTAATAAAAAACTTCCTCACAAACTGGAGGACTTCGCTAAAGTTATCGAAGTCAATACCATTGGTACTTTCAACGTTATTCGCCTCTCTGTTGGTTTAATGATAGAAAATTCTCCTAATCAAGATGGTCAAAGAGGTGTAATTGTTAATACTGCAAGTATCGCCGCTTTTGATGGTCAAGTAGGACAGGCTGCTTATTCTGCTTCAAAAGGAGCAGTCGTAGGTATATATATTTTCATTTTACTCTTTTATAATTTATTATTTAAATACTATAAAGAGTGTTTCAGAATTAGTCATTGTTCCACAATACATATAATTATACAATGAATGCAACTTGCAAAATAAGAAGCTGAATATTTAAAAAATGATAAACTTGCAGCTCCTCATCAAGGGCAATATTCAAAATTGAGTCTTATATTTATGACTGTCTTAAGTACAGTCTTAAAATGTCATGAATGAGTCAAAGAACCATATTAGCATTTTAAGGTACTCCTTGAGACGGTCTTAAAATAAGAACAGAACTATGAACGGACTAAGGCCGGTATAATTCATAGTCGATTCTTATATTTGAGACTGTCTTAAGTACAGTCTTAAGATATCATAAGCCAATCAAAGGGTTGCATATTAGCATTTTAAAACATTACTTAAGACAGTCTTGAAATAAGAATGGACCCAAAAAACGTTACAAAACATTTCAGTAACATTGCTGCAACGTTTCTTGCTTAGTAGACTATGAATACTAGGACAGCATTCATAATCCCTTCTTATTTCAAGACAAAGATTTTGTAGTCTTAGGACGGTATTCATAGTCCATTCTTTTGTTTTGAGTTTTGACCAACTAATAGCGTTTTTCATTGGCAGAATTGGTGCGCATTCAGTGCACATTTAAGCTGTTGTACATTAACCCAATCTGAACGTAAAAGTGAGATATCTCAATTAATAAAATATCCAATATTTTATTAAATACTACAATAAAAAATATTGAGGATTTCGCGGTTTAATTCGTTTCTATATTTTTATTAAATGTACACCTTCGATTTGTGAACAACGGTTTTAAAGCGCATTGAATGCGCACCAGCTCTGCCAGTAAAAAACGCTAAAGTTTTTACTTATAATTCCGAAACACTTTATAAATCTTTTTAATCCCGTTATGTTTATTATTACACTTCCATTTATTTTATTCTGACAATAAGTTATGAATTTTATTCTTTTCTTCTTTATTTTCTACAATTTATATTTTTTTATAATTTATTATTATATAGGGATGACTTTACCTATCGCTCGTGATCTTTCCAAGGATGGAATTCGTGTCGTAACAATTGCTCCAGGACTTTTCGATACTCCATTATTAAAAGCGCTGCCAGAAAAGGTACGAATCTTTTTGGCAAAAAGTATACCGTTTCCTCAAAGATTGGGAAATCCTGATGAGTTTGCCATGTTGGTACAGCAGATCGTTGAAAACCCATTACTAAATGGTGAAACAATTAGATTGGATGGTGCTTTGCGAATGCAAGCTTAAAGGACTATTAATTTTTTTCATTTTGATAAAATTATAGTACTGAAGATTTTTCTCGAATTTCTTTGTCTCTTTTTGTGTACACACACACACACACACACACACACACACCCACATACACACAAAAAGATCAAATTCGATAAAAATCATATATATATATATATATACACATACAATAAAATTTTAAACTTTTCTATAAACTTTTATTTCATTCTTGAGACCTTCAGAAATTTTTTCATAAATGGTCTCCTTTTTTTAGCATGTAAAATTTTTTGTATTTTAATGATATGTATAATTATACATAATATTAAAAAGTAAAATAAACCAAAAATGTTTAAACACAAATAAAAGAGAAGAATGTTATTTTTAGGTCAAAGCGAACCTTGGTGCTCAGTAATATTCATATGTGAATACATAAATACATTTATCAGTTCTGACCATGCCGTTTCGGTTTATCGACTTGAAACGCAATCATGAACTGAAATAATAACTCTTTAACGACTCTAACGATATCGTTAGGATGTCCAGACTATCTTTATTTCGGCTAACTTTCATTGTTTTTTCCTGAGCCGCATAACAAATATTTACCCAAATGTTCGCGGTTCGAGGTTCGGTTTGAGTTTCAGCTCGATAATCTGGACGCACCCTTAAATCGTTACGCAGTTTTTTTTTACTATACAAAACCTGCGCAATGACAATGTAACGATATCGTTGCAGTCGTTAAAGCCTGTTCTACAATAGGGACACAAAGGACCGTAAGCCGTAAGAAATTAATCAATCATAGTCGATTATTTTTTTTTATTCAACTGTGATTGACCAATTTCTTATGGCTTACAACTCGCTACCCTATTGTAAAACAGGTATAAGAATTATAGAATAGGCTTCTAAATTCATTGTTCGATGATTTTATAATATATGTATCTTTAACAAAATAAAAATTTCATACATTTAATTTTATTGAATATACATATAATGAAAACTATATTCTATAAATAATATTGAGATTTCGAAACATTTATAAAAGAAAATAAAATCTTTCATGCAACATTATTCTAATTTATAGCGTCATTACAATTTAATTGTTTAGAATTGTAATTAATCTTAATTTTATTTACAATTTCTGATTCTTATTTCCTTAGTACAGCTATATATTCGATAATAACATTAAAAATCATTTGAATTTTTTCTTGTAGTATGCGTTGAAAAAAGTTGGTTTTTTAGCGTATAAGTTTTTATACGCTTTATTATAGATTTTTAATATGTTGGATAAAAGGATAAAATGAACACACATGAAAGACGAGGAATATTGAATGAATAGTCCTTTTTACATGCAACACCAGTGTAATTCCTTTGAAATGTACGTCTTTTATAGTACACAGGTATCGACAATTCTTTCTATTATCCCGTTTCACTGTACATCATTTCCTACGAAAGAAAACCTCTCCTTCCACCTCTTTCATTAGCTTCATTAACTCAAGAGTTTAATCAACTCATTAAAGCTCAATTTGTCCTAAGATAGAACAAATTATAATATTTCTAATCTTGTAGTAATCAGTCAACACAAAGAGAAATCTCGGTGACCTTATATAAAGTTTTACATAAAGTCTTGGTGATCTTGTATATTAATTTTTCTATCCTTCATAACTATTCTGATTTTAAGTATCTCTTACCTTTAAATTATTCATTTAACTTAATCATTTTTTTCGATTAATCCACTAAATCATTTCTTCTTCCTTTCATGATGTTAATAAACCAGTGTGATAAGGTAGTTTTACAAATGAATCTTTTTTTCTATGGTTCTGATTAGTTAATAAAGATATAACATACATTATTTTTAAAGTAGTTGCGATTTAAAGTTAAATTTATTCTGTAAGTGCTTTAGGCACACGAAAATAATTTTTATGCTTACAGCCATAATTTAGATAGTCTTTAGCACTTGATCTATTAACATCCATTACTCGAAAGATAGTTCAATCACAATTTCATCTTTATTTCCACCACTACTCGATCACCATAAGAGCCTTATGAATTTCAGATAGAGTCTTAGTGTGAGTTTATTACAGTTAGTCTTTTTTGCCTAGCACCTCAGGTGATCGCCAGAAGTCTAGCAAGTGTCGGAAGTTGTCGGGGTGGCCGTCAGGCAAGATAATTCTGCCCTTGTGGACCCCGGGGCCTAGTCAGCCCTAGGCGTTCGATTCCTTGAGCGATTGCAATTTTTCCAGTTGGTCCGGCTGCAGCTCATCTGGAATGCTGGCTCTTCCTCCTATCAGCATTTTTCCTGGCGCAATTTCCTCCTCTTCCATAACCTCTGTGACTTCTTCTGTCACTTCTACCACTGTTCCCCTCGATTGAGAATTTTCGTTGGTGCTGGGACCAGATGTTGATTCTGCTTCGCTTCCAGAACTACTGCTGATTGGAAACGGAGCCGAGTCAGCTGGAAGTTCGTCAATTGTAGACTTTTCTTCAGCTTCTTCTCCCTCTTTCTCGTCCAAAATAACGATTGGCTCTTCTTCTTCTTTACATTCGCTTTCATTCGGATCCGAAGCCGCACTTGAAGCAACTTCAGGTTCGGCTTCGGAGGCTTCTGCAGACTTTGTCGAGCCTTCTGCAGTTTCGTCTACTCCGGGGAAAGAATGTTCGGTCTCTTCCATCGGAGTTGCGGCTGTAATCACAATCTGAGCCACTCCAAGACCGAAGTCGTCCTTTTGGCTCTCAGATTTGAGATCTTCATCAGATTTGGGATCCTTTTCCGTCTACGAATCAAATAAAGTTTTATTCTTGACATAAAGTAATTCTCTGTAGCTTTATGTATGAATCATGTATTTCATATCGTGCTAGAGTAACAAAAAACAGAATATTTCATGTAAAAATAAAATTTTGTTTTGATAGCAAAAGCAGAATTTATTATTAAAACGTAAGAAATATTTATAGTATAAATATATTAAACGTTTGATAGAAATATATATAATTACATGCTTTTTGTAAAAAGAAAAATAAAACTAAATAAAATATCTAATATCTATAAATGATCTTTGACATTATACTAATTTACCTTGTCACCTGATTCATCTGATATTTCCACGACTGTGCAGCAAGTCATAATGTTTTATAGATTAAAATGAATACTTGCTATATTTCAACTATTATCATAGCCCACATTTCGAGAATTTTAATTTAATTTGGAAGCTCACCTAATATATCTGGCGTTTCATCCAGCTTCTCGTCCCCGAACTGTGAACCGTATTGATCCTTTTGGTCTTGAGACAAATTTATCATGAATCCACTCTCACCATTCACCATTGGCTTTCCTTCTTGCGATTCTATGAAACACATACAATAAATATATATAGGAGTAGATATATTCTTTTAATTTTATATATATAAGCAATATTGTATGAAAATAATACATATAAGTATGTATATAAAAATAGTTGTGTAATTACCGTCTATTTGAGCAAACTCATCTTCTAGCAAAAATTCTGGCGCAATTTCTGGTGGGGTAAAGACTGGTGGCGCGGAACTCGGTGGTGTCATATTCTCCTGAAATAATAAAAAAATAGTATATCGTTTTCCTGTTACAAAATTAAATATAAATTATTATTTGATTTATTCACAGAGAAAAATAATAATGTCAATGTGAGCCGATATGGTTAACCATATGTAATGATATATTAAATAACAAATTACAGTTTGTGTTTCAACCATTGGGTCATCCTTAGTGTGTGAATAATAATTATCCAAATTCGTTAATACTTCACATTACATTGTGATAAAAAGTATGATACATTGTCGAAACGAATTATAACGATATGACATTTATTTTAGACCGTTAGAAATGTAATAATTGTTAACATTGAAAATGATCCGATGTGGATTGAAACGTTTGTTATAGTAAACTTTGTTTGTTTTTAATTATTTAGCATTAAGATCTTGCTTGGTTCGTAGCCATATTTTTATTTAATTTTTTAAATTATTTGAGTTCGTTTACTGTTTTAATTTAATAATTTCAACGTGCAATATATATAATGTTTATATAATATATATAATGTACGACTAATTTTATTTATGTTGGTATGTATGCGTGTAAACTATTTAGAACAATAAATTTTATATATATATAATTATTTTATATACATATATCTATATGTACATATAATTTCTCACCTGTGGGGTCAGAGGACATCCATCCGGACCGCAAGGTTCC